TCTTTACTATTGGCATGTATGCAAAATTGTGTAAATGTTCTTAATGTGATTATGGAAATGTTTTCATTATCCATTCAATTATTGAATTTGGAAAACTATATTCTTGTTATATTTCTATTTCCAAGATACATAGAAAAAGTGCACTGACATGATCACCACTATAATGTAACAAATTAATTGAATGCAATATGATTACACTTCGGCACCTCAATGATACACAATCCCCAGGAGGAATGACAGGTCTTTTCTCCTAAACTGGTCACTGCTTAGAAAAAAATACTTTTAATGCCCATTCATCTCGAAAGTGTTATGGCATTAGCAATTCCAATTTTGTTCTAGTGTATATACTAACAAACATAATGAATATCTTTTTACAACTTTACATTTTCTCCAAAGTCATAGACAATGTCCGTATCAATGGAATTGGTGAAGAACGAAGATAAAATGTTGAGTGACTGATATAAATTATTGCTTGTTGTTGCTTTGAAATGTTCTTTTGGAGGAGCACTGTGTCCAGATTCTATGTGGACTGCTGGCTGTACAGGAACATGATTGATGTACTCTCAGCTTAAGTTTATGGCTCTCATCATATTAACCAGCAGATGATCCTGAGAATCACTTGCTGAGATGGTTTTGTCAAACACCAAGGCTTCGTCTTTTTCTTTTTCCTACAATTATAGACTCTCCTATAAAAAAAAAGAGGAACATTGAAAGTAAGTCTATCAGGAAAGAAACATGAAGCCTGTCTTTGCTCTCTATGTTGTTACGAAAACTCTTCTTGCTTGGATGTCATGTTGACCCTCTTGCTTCAATATTGTGAGTCTACAATCCAAAAACCAGTATACAGTAAAAAAATCATCTGACTTTTGCAGGAATTTCCTTAGTTGCTTAATTGTTACAAATTAGTGGATTAAAAAGCATATGAGCCAGGTAACTAGCATTTTTAGAAGGAAGTCAGCAATGCCAGTCCCTGTACTTCTCTCTTTACAGGGGTCAAATATATTCACATAAAGCATTAAAATATTGTACATTGATATATCTTAGCGCTGAACTGCACATTGTAATCATAGGATATCTATGGTACTAAGTGATTTAGCTATTTGCTGACAATTGTGTAAAATACAGCATGGCACACCACAAGTCTTTGTAAATTTTCCTCAGTGCAGTCTTACAAAAGTTGTTTTTGAACCACAAAATGGCTCAGTCATCTCTCTGTCTGAAATTGCTTCACATGAAATAATAATAATAATAATATATTTCTAGTGTTTTTTGCAAGTTACAATGCAATGTAACGATAAACATATGATCTATTAATGTTATGTTACATAGAAGGCAATTTACTGATAGGATGTTGGCTTGGTGGTTACTTATCTTGCATTACAGCAATGGGGCCTTCGGTTCTATCCTCACCTCCTGCCTAGAGTTTAAATACTTTTACAATGCTGGTCTTGCTGTCCATCTCCATTTACAACTTTGGTAGGTCAAAGTAATTTACAAAAACCTTAACTCGTTTCAGAAGCTACAACTGCCAAAGAATCCTTAGAATCCACCACACATTCAGGTGTTCCAGATGCTTAGTCCATCTCTGCACTCTGCGGTTCCATTCACAAGGCCCTAAATCAGTATTGTTGTCCTGTAGTGATGTATGGTTGGATTACAGGGTCACAACAAGCAGCAGGGAACACAAGCATCCGACACATCTGCAAGTGTCAGATTCTATAGATTCTGCTGTATCTCTGCATGACAGGAAAGCTATGACTTGCTTTCCACCAGAGAAATAAATATTAAGAGTTTTCTTTTGCAGGCAGCTTCTTTTCAATTATTTTTGATTAGTGAGTCACTTTAAGTAGCTTTTGACCATGTATGCGCTAGACTCTGTATTTGTATGAATGTGATAGGACCATCAGTTTGTAAACTGCTCAGAAGAAGGGAATCTGAATGAATACAGGTGAAACTCGAATAATTAGAATATTGTGCAAAGTTCATTTATTTCACTAATGCAACTTATGCGGTGAAACTAATATATGAGAGAGACTCATTACATGCAAAGCAAGATAGTTCAAGCCGTGATTTGTCATCATTGTGATGATTATGGCTTACAGCTCATGAAAACCCCAAGAACCCCAAATCCACAACCTCAAAAAAGTAGATTATTACATGCAATCAATAAAACACGGATTGTACATAGAACAATATCGGACCTCTGAAAAGTACAAGCATGCATATGTACTCAGTACTTGGTTTGGGCCCCTTTTGCAGCACTTACTGCAATTACGTTTGCACGATATTCTAATTATTCGAGTTTCACCTGTATTTTGTAAACAATGCTGAAATATGTTTGAACTACATAAATACGTATAATAATACCATACCTTTCTCCCCTTTATAACCCCTTGGTCCTTGTGGTCCAGTATATCCTGGTTCACCTTTGTCACCTGTAGAGAAAAAAAATAACACCATCTCTGAGACCACACATGATTTCTTATATGACTTTAGCACAGAGAACTGAAGGATTTGTTGTTTTCACTTTCCTAAGAATACAAGCAATATTGATGTATAAAGCAGAGACATCCAATTAAACTCAGTGCATTAGACAGTATTCCTGAAGCCTGATAAATCAGCTGTTTTGTTGGCAGACCCATAATACATATTTTCTATGGGTTCACTAGGAAGCAGCAACATGATTTAGGTATGAGACATTTATTTCTTATTTAGTAGAATGGACAATATCAATGTCTCCAACATAATGGCTCACCCAATATTCTTTAGGATAAAGTTAGATTTTTTAGAATAGTTGAAATGCACTCTTGTTTAAAATATGTTATTACCTTTAACACCAGGGAATCCTCTCTCTCCCTTCTGTCCTGGCATACCGGGTGACCCGGGAATGGTTCCATAGGCTGTAGAATAAAAATATGTAGTTGGTTATTCTTATTCTTCTTAACTAATGTGACAGATACTTCCACAAAGAACTGTAACTGTATGATGGCATCTGGTAGAGCAAACTATATTTACATTAATCCTTTACAGTATTAATTTACAACTTATGCAAATACTTTAATATAGACCTGCATTCCATACTATTGCCTAAGATTAACCCTGCTCTATACAATCAAGTGCTACTTACTTAAAAGTCAGATTTTATTCTATTTCTATGTTGTTTCATAATCATTAGTTCTTTAGTCTTTCTCCTGAATAAAATATCATACAAAAGCTTGTCTCTTACTTCTGAAGAGTTCCATAAGATCAGTGGTGATGTTGGAGTGGGTTGCATATATCTGACAGATTCCAGGTTGTCCAGGTGGTCCTTGGGGTCCAGGAACATAAATCCTCTGCTGGCTGAAAGACATATCTCCAAGAAGGCCTTGACCTGAAGATTGCAAACCAGCAATGAGATTATATTGTTTCACTGTAATCTGATCTACGTCTACTAGCCGAGCTAATGGTGAGACAACTAAAGCAAAGAACTTACTTTGGATTTGTTCTGTTACACGAGATGCCACTTCATTATAATCTATGGCGAATGATGAGGAGTCTAATGAAGAGTATGAGGAGCCTGATGAAAGGGATGATGACGACGATGATGATGATAATGATGCTGAGGATGCTGATGATGATGATCTATCCCCACTGTCTCCCTTGGCTCCTCGCGGCCCTTGAGGACCAGGAGGTCCTGCTGGTCCTGGTGGTCCAGAGATGTATTGTCGGATGTTGTCACCTGTGCAAAAGAAAGAGAGTGTGAGCTATAATGTGGTAGACTTTGCACTTGATATTCCTACAATTATTATATAAACAATGTAGACTGATCATTACATTTTTTTAGAAAATATTGCATTGTACTATTTGACTTTGAGAAGATCTATACTAAAAGGTTTTGTTCAATAGAGCAGCATGAAAAATGGAAATGTGTACAGTACAATAATACAGCAAACGGTAAGATGTCACCCTCCAGCATTGGAAATACTTAGCTAAAGGATAGAATATAAAGCAAAGAACATAGACAAACATTGCTATGGGAAGCAGAAGGAGAATATATGGTATATACTGGATGGGAGCATGGACATCTCATTTATGCTTGCCCCAAAGTCAGGGATTAAAAAAGTAAAAAGTAAATCTATTTACTTGTTAAATATTCAATAAGCTCAGTCCGTAAAACATCGCTCCTCGAGTCCTCAGCGTAGGAGGCGAAGCTGCCAGAACCTGGTAATCCAGGTGGCCCTGGTGGTCCAGGTGGTCCTGGAGGGCCTCCGACATGTTGCACATCTTAATAAAAAAAATAGTAACAATAAAAGTAGTTAGGTTAACATTTATTTTATTTACCATATCTTCTCTCACTGGTGGTTGTAAGTTAAACAGTCGAATGCTAGCCAAGCCAGATACTGATGTCATGGGTTTGAAAGCATTGTACTTACTTTGCAAGTAACTTGCAATGTCCTCTGGACTGAAGCCAGCTGCCAAACTTGCTACAGAATTTCCTGGTGGTCCCATAGGTCCTGCTGGGCCTTGTGGGCCAGGGCGACCTGGGCGGCCAGGCTGACCTGGTGGTCCTGGTTGGCCAACAATTCCACTGAAGTCGGAAGCTAGATTTGTATAAAATGTAAGTAATTATTATTAATTATTAAAATGATGTGACATACATACATTATTGATTTTGGATAAACTGTTAAA